CCTCTGTGGTCTTCTGTGGTAGACCTCTTCTGTCAACACTTGCAGTAGTACTTTTTCATACTTTTACATTAAATGAAATATGAGAGCTAACACTTCCCCTTTAACTATGCTTGGATCAAAGCTTATTAAAGATGTACGAGCAATAGAACAAGGTATAGATGATCTATATGACAATAAGTCAATAGACTCGTGCTAGAGACTTTGAATAGTGTATGCAAACGCTCTATCTTGTGGACTTCGAAATGCTATTAAACAGAGATATGCTCAATGTGAATGCAAAAACTCTGTATAGAACATACAGAGGCTCTGACTTATTATTGAAGATTGAGCATACCCAACTTGCTGACCAAGAAATTGAATCTCTTCTCATCGAGAGCCTTGGTGAATATGTTTGCAAGTTGGTGATTTGTACTAACAAAGAACATTTCGATCGTACCTTTTTCTACATGGTCTTTAATGAAATGGTATCGAACATCGATATGGTTTGTCTTAGAGTGCTATACTGGATTGGCCATGATGGCTATCGCGCTTTCAGAGTCACATAGGATGGGGATTTTGTTAAACTCAATGTCGTAATCTTTGATTTGAGTCTTCATCCATATCACTTGGGAACAACAACTTGTTACGGCTACATACTCTGCTTCCGCAGTAGAAGTAGATACGTAGTTCTGCTTCTTGGATGTCCAACTTATTAGCTTGTTTCCGAGCAGTTGACAGCTCCTGGATGTGCTTTTTTGATCAAGTTTCCATCATGCGTGATAAGAATCTATATACGCAATAATATAAAATCCAGAATGCTTTGGATACCAGAGACCCAAGAATTGAGTCCCTTTTTGGTATTGAAAGATTCTTTTGACAGCAGAAAGGTGGGATTCTTTAGGATTTGCTTGATACCTAGCACAGAGACAGGTGGCAAACATTATATCTAGTCGACTAGCCATGAGATACAACAGTGATCCAACCATTCCATGGTAAGTCTTGACATCCACTGATTTTCCAGATGGATCTGTATCAAGCTTCGATCCTGTTGCCATTGGTGTTCTCATGGTGGAAGAGTTGGGGAGTTTGTACTTCTTAAAGATGTCTGAGACATACTTGACTTGGTTGATGAAGATACCACCATCCTTTTGTTTGACTTGAATCCCGAGAAAGAATTATAATTCTCCCATCATGCTCATTTCAAATTCACTCTTCATTAACGTAGATAAGTTATAACAGTGCCTCTGGTTCATTGAACCAAATATAATATAGTCCACGTATATTTGGACTAGAATCATCTCACCTGCATACCTCTTTATGAACAAAGTGGTATCAATTTTATTTTTTTCGAAACCATTAGACAGAAGAAAAGATGAAAGACGTTCATACCAGAATCTTGGAGCTTGTTTGAGTCCATACAGAGCTTTGTCTAAGAAGTAGACATACTCTGGGTGTATGAAACTTTCAAACCCTGGAGGTTGCTTCACATAGACTTCCTTCTTTAGCTTGCCATTATGAAAAAGGCTGACTTAATGTCCATTTGATAGACTCGGAATCCTTTATGTGCAGAGAAGGCTAGGAATAAGCGTATAACATCTAGCCTTGCAACTTGTGCAAAGGTCTTGTCATAGTCTATGGCTTCTTTCTGGAAGTAGCTTTGGCAACGAGTCAGGCTTTGTTTCTTACCACTATACCATCCTCATCCTTCTTGTTCCTGAAAGCCCACTTAGTACCAATTGCAATTTTATCCTTTGGTAAAGGAAAGAGATTTCATACATTGTTTCTTTCGAATTGCTGGAGTTCTTCTTGCATGGCATCAACCCAACTAAGGTCTTGTAAGGCTTCATGAAGTTTCTTGGGCTCTACCACGCTTAGAAAGTTTACAAATAAACATTCATTGGCTACAACTCTTGTCTTTACTCCACTTGAAGGTTCACCAATAATTTGATGAGCGGGATGGTGTTTTGTCCATCTTGTCATGGGAGCTTGGACAGACATTGGAGTCATGGCATCTTGCTCCTCTAGTATGTTTGGCATTTGCCTCATAGTTGGTGACGATGGCTCTACTTGCTCCCCTCCGGATGATGGTATAGAGGAACCAGGTTCAGAGACAGTGGTAACGTTCTCTGGCTCTAAAGAAATGGGCTCTGATCTAGATCTTGAAGGCTCTGGTTGTGGAATGGCTTGATCACTAGAAAAAGCAGAGGTGTTAGAAGGGCCAGAGACGGATGTGCTTAAAGTCTGTGGATCTTCTTGTACACGTGCAGAGGCATCACCGAGTGCACGCGCAGAGATGTCATCATCACCAAAGTAGTCTTCAAAAAGTTGCCTGAGTTCCAATTCCCTTGACTTCGATAGAGAAATGGAAGTCATTGGGTTAAGCTTTAGTCCAGAGCTGAAGTACTCTGAAGTCAATTGTTCTTTATCGTCGAATGTGACGTTGATGCTTTCCATGACCGTATTGGTTCGTAGATTGAAGACTTTGTAGGCCTTGAAGTGTGTGGAGTATCCAAGTAATTTGCCTTCATCAGCCATCTTGTGGAACTCTCCAAGATGATCCCGATCATTTAGAATGAAGCATCTGCAACCAAAGACATGTAAAAATTTAATATTAGGCTTTCTTTGGCTGAGGAGTTCGTAAGGAGTCTTCATATGCCTCTTAACCACGATAGCTCTATTTTGGGTAAAGCACGCGGTTGAGATTGTTTCTTCCCAAAAATGGGTTGGAAGACCGGAGTTTGCAAGCAGTGTTCTTGCAGCTTCAACCAAGGTCTGATTTTTCTTTTCTACAACATCATTCTGTTGTGGTGTTCTTGCAGCAGAGAAGTCCTAAGAGATTTCCTCTTTATCAAGGTACGCGTCAATTTTGGCATTCTTGAACTCTGTATTGTTGTCACTTCTTAGCTTTTGAATTCTGCTCTGTAGAAGGACTTGAACCTTGGTCATAGGCAGGTCTAGTACATCTGACTTCTGTCTTACAAACTCGATCCATGTATATCTTGTAAATTTGTCAATAAGCACTAAGATATACTTCTTGCCAGATAGACTCTACACAGAGATTGGACAACAGAGGTCTGACACAGGACATGTATGTTTTAGCCTTATAGGATGCTCTTTTGAGTTTTCTCATTTCGCAAGCGGGACAGAGATGGTCTTTTTCGAACATTATAATTGGTAGTCCGTAAACCAATTTGTTTTTCACAAGCTTCTCTATATTTGGAAATTTTAAATGAGACAGCTTGTGATGCCAGAAACATGCTTCCTCATATTTGCGAGATATGAGACAGAGAGTCTCTGAGTTATCTCTAGGTAAGAAGTTCATAAGGTACAGATTACCCTTACGATTGGCTTTTAGCAACTCTTGACCTTATTCTGACAATATTGAACAAGATTCCTTTTGGAACTCAACGTTATAGCTAGAATCACAGAGTTGACTTATGCTCAGAAGGTTGTGCTTAAGCCCAGAAACATAAACAACTCTTGAAACAAAAACCTTACCTTGATGAAGATCTTCGTAGCCTTTGATTTGTCCTTGCATATTATCCCCGAAAGTCACCCGTCCTCCAAGTTTTATTTTTGAATGAAGAGAGAAACTTCTTTTTGCCGGTCATGTGTCTTGAGCATCCGGAGTCAAGGTAACAGATGTCCACATGCGGCTTCTGCAAAACAAATTATAGGGATTTACTAATTTCATGATGGATCCACGATGATTAGGCTTTGGAGTCTTAACTTTTGGTTTGGGGAAGGGTCTGCCTCAGCACTTGCTTTTCAAGACTTGATGTCTGGCTTGCCAGATTTGGCCTTTAGAGACTGCTTCTTTTGAGTCCTTTTAGAGTTAGATGACCCAGAGAGAAAGACATTTGCAAGTACGAACACATTATTGATGGAAAACGATTCATTAGATTAATAAAATTTTCTATTATTACAATCGTTCCTAGCATTGTTTTTTTATAATGAATTCCCTATCTAGATTTGATTGTATATTGAAATTGGCCTTTGTCTTCTCTGGCCTGCCTTTCTTTCCTTCAACTCCTTCGGCCTTTAAAGGCCTCTCTGAAACAGAGGAATTGAATTTAGAATTAGAATTAAACTTTCCTTTCTATTTCAAAGTGAACTTTCTTAGCTTTTGAAATCTAGACTTTAGAAATCTAGATGCAAATGTGGTAGATTTGGGTTCCTTAGTCTTGTTTTCCTTCTCGAGCTCAAGAGAATACTTGGCTTTTAAACACATCTCCACGAAGTCAGGACACACGAGAATCTTTTTCCTCTGCTCTATTTCTGGAATAGATTTATTTGAGATGCCACTTATAAGTTTATGAACTTCTGGTCCTGGCTTCGCTATCTCAGCCTCAGTTTGCTCTGCATTCAAGTCCACCTATGATTCAGAGTCAGAGTCAAGAAAATCTCTTTGTGGATTTTGAGTGGTGGAGGTTTCATTGAGATGATGAGATCTCTATATAAAAGTATCAACGCCTTCGTCCTTCTATTGCGTCGATGAGGAACATGCAAAAGTTCTGTGGAATTATTCTCTAGATTGTTTAAATGAGATACAGAGGAATGATTCAAAACTTCAAGCAGATCTTGCTCAAAAACATGTCTCATCTTCTTCTGTGAATTCATCCATCAACCTTGGATCTAGAGTTTTGAAAGATCATTTTTCGATCCACTCTTGGTCGTATCTGATTTTGTTTTGATTTCAACACCATTTGGTTTTAAAGGTTCAGTATTGTGAGTACCAAAACTAAAAATCTTTATAGTCTTATGTATGTTGTTTAAATCAATGGAGGCATACTTTTAGAAGAATAAGAGATGTTTTCAAACTTAAGCTTCCGTGCTCTGGCCCCACATTCAATTTTGACTCTTTTAAATGGTGATGTTTTAGGCGAAAAACCGGAAAATCAGGTTTTTGCTCTGCCACTAAATGAAAAACCGACTCAAGATTAAGTTTCTTCTTCCAGGTGAGGTCTAGGTCTGTATAACCTATTCCTGCTTTGTCCTGTTGACAATTTATCCTTTCGTACACCTGTTGAGCATCTTGATACTTTTTAATTAAGAGTTGTTTTCTTTGTAAGCTCTGGTGTAAAAATTCCCTTTCGTTTTGAACATAATTTTTCAAGGCTGAAGAGTTTAATCTATCACGTTCTTTTTCTATTATTTCCTTGTCTTTCTTTTGTATAGCCTTTTTCAACTCTGAGCAGTATGTTTTTAAATTGTTCTCTGTGAAGAGTTTAATTTCTAAAATTTTATCTTTCTCTACAAAAAACTTCTCTTTTTCTACAGACAAAATCCCTGTTTCATGTTTAAAGAAATTCTTTTCCTTTTCCAAATCTTTTCTTTTTGCTTTTTTCGTCGGAGAGTTTTTGTTGTAGTTTTGCAAAATCTTGGGTTAGGATAGAGATGCTTTGCTCCAGTTCAGAATGGGAATAACCATAAGTAGAGTATACTTGAGAGTCAGAGTCAGATCCAGACTCTTCTGCATCGTGAACAACAGCCATGCCGCAGAAGTGGGCTTGGTCCTCTTCGTCTGATGTAGAGTCAGAGACCTAGTTCTCTTGTTCGGCCATGAGACTCCTTTGGGGCCGGTTGTACTTATACTTGTTTTTTTAGTACAACTCGTCTTTAACCAGAGGGTCTTTGCACTCCTTTAAGTAGTGGCCTATTATTCCGCATCTGAAGCATCGAACTGCATGTTTCTTCTTCTCAGGCTGTTCTTCCTCCTTCTTGATCTATTGAGAAGGAGGGTTCTTTGTCTTGAATCCTCTGTCTTTCCCTCTATCATTTCTACTTCCTATCTTATCGAAAACCCGCTTACCAAACTTTCTTTGAAATTCCTTGGTGATAAGAGCCAAGGATTGTGCGAAGGCACTTATATCATCATCTTAAGAGCTTGAGGCTCTGTCTTCATCATCGCTCTCCGTAACTAGAGCTTTTTCTTCCCTCTTATTCTATCCTCTCTTGACCTTCTTTCTATAGATGGTTGACTAGATTCAGTCTCCTTTGAGTCAGAGACAAGAGCTAGAGGTCCAACCAAAGCGACCTTCTTCTTTTGCACCTCTTGTTCTTGTGCCTGTAAAGTGCCGTATACGTCATGCAGCGTCCACTGTTCCAAATCTTGATTAGCTTGAAGACACATTGACAGGTTTCCCCATTTGTTGTTCAACCTTTTCAAAAAGAGCATGTTGTTCTTTTTTTTTTGAGTTCTAATCACATCGCACTTTTTGCATTTATTGATTTGAGTGTTGAAGCGTTGATAAGTCTGCTCGAGAGACTCATCAGGGAGGGCCTGGAAGTTGTTGTACTCGTTGAGGCATTGAGCACGTCTATTCTTTTTCATCTTGATTCCTCCTTCAAGCTGATTCGCCAACTAATCCCATAAATCCTTGGCAGATTCACAAGCATCCAGGGATTGGAAGATTTTATTGGGAAGAGCCATTATTAAAAGCCTTTTGGCTTTTTGGTCTACTTCCACTTTCCTTTTATCTTCATCGTCCTAATCTCTTCGGAGTTTGGGAACATGTCTCGCAGGCACTTCAACGGTGTCTCCAACAGGTGGAACCCTAGGTATAAGGGTCATGGGCAAGTAGGGATCATTGAGAATTGATTCATATAATTCAAGATGTAGACCTTCTTAGAAGTTTATCATCCTAATTTTCCGTTGAGGATATTCATCCCTAATGAGAGTAGGAGGTTTTGTAAGGGAACCAACACTGTACATTGAGTTCCAAGATTGATTAAACATTTCGAAGTTGTTTTTGGAAAAGTAATAAACATGAAGTTGAAAGATTTAAGAAAATCTGAACTGTTGAGACTAGCAATCTTGGAGAATACTTAAAGCAAAAGTTTTTAAAGAATTTGATATGAGATCGAATGAAACGCGTTTTAAAAACAAATAACCAACAAAAGAGAATTATCCTTATTGGATATAGATCGACTAATCAATTGATTTGATTAGCAGGCTCTGATATCAATTGTAGGAACCTAGATTCCTCTTAAGTATCACTAAACACAGTAAAATTAAAGTGAATGGAAGCAAGAACTGTGTAGTTGATAATGGTTAACAAAATTATTCAAGAAAACAATAAGAATGTAGAACTATCTTCAACAAGTCAGATGCTTTATTTAGGTTTCGAGTAAAACTGTAAACTCTCAATCTAACAATACTTTCACAAGAATTCTCTATAATGAAGTGTAGTCTAATTTGGCAATCAAACAGGTAATTTTAACCTGAGGAGGATTCCTTCTTTTATATGTCCGGCCTAAACAAAATCTCCTATATTTTAGGCTTTAAACTCTGACTTCTTGTTCAACGTCCTTAGCCTTCACATATCTTGGAAAGTGGAACGGCTTGAGTATACGTGGTAGATTCTGTTAGGAGTCTTGGAGATAAGTCTGAACAACTTGTGCGCAAACCATGGGAGTAGGAGACTCAAAGGCTCTGCATGTATTGTGTAGAGGCTCTATGCCTTGATTGTAGCTTTGGATCAAGTACTTAAGCTTTTCGACACTCAATCCTTGATCTTCCTCTGGGTTGAGCATGGGCTCTGTATGTAAGACGCTTAGCTCTTTGAATAAGAGCTATGTCTCTTAGTATCTTCTGCATAAGAGCTCTTGGTCCAGACTGCTTCAATCGACTAAGTCCTAAATGACTTGAGTAAGAGACTTCTTACTTACACTTTTACAAGTGGGGTTCTAACACCTTCCTTTTGACTCTGAATTAGTTGGAAAAGCTCATCATGACAATATTCTCTTCTAACGAAGACGTACGAAAATCAGACGAAAATCCTTCCAAATGCAACGTTCAAACAGATCTGAATGAAGGTGTCGTAAGAACATGGACTCAATATGGCCCATGTGTTGAGCAAGATGTTACCCTTAACTAATTATGTCACAAAGGCAGAGTTCCAAGACTCTGCCACCTCAGTTCAGTGCTCCTTGGAAGAGCTACAACTTACAATGGTCCATGTAGAGCCATCAACCTCTGGATCTGTCTTGGATGATGTTCGAGCATCCACTGCAGCCTTGAAAGTTGAGTCTTTGACGAATGCTAACCTTTTCTAACTAGCAAATGGAATTAACGACATCAACAAACCCCACTCTGCAAAGGAAGGTTGACTAAAAGAAGAGTAAGAGGAGGAAGAAGAACGGATCTCCATGTACAAAAAGCTCTAAGAGACGGGGGATGTTTGATGATCAAGAGGACCCAGATGCCTCTGGTCCTCAAGACCATGAAAAGGGGCAGAGCTCTTATCAACCAACTATTCAAACTGCCCCTGTCTCCTCTGTACCTGCTTACAACTCACAACCAGTGCCTGTGAACTTACCAAGACCTCAAGATCAGCCAGAGCTTGCATCTGCATCTATCCCTGGTGAAGACATGGGTGCATCCATCTCACCTCCAAAATTGTCTTAACGTTGTCAAACTCTATAAAAGTTAATTTAACAGAGGACCATGTTGGCCTCTTGCTTTCTAGACTAGTGTTTAAATTCTACCAAGTCTTTTTATTACACTTAGGGGGAGAATGTTAGATTATTTATTTGAAAGTGTAAGTAAAAAGCCTCATGCTCTAGTCAAAAGAACTTAGTCAGAAAGTTGCCTAGAATCAAGAGCTCGGATACAAAGCTGCTCGGACACAGAGCTCGGACATAAAAGGGTATGAAAACCGAAGTCTTGGGTGCAAATAGCCAAGTACTCGGATACAGATCATGGACACATAGGGCAAGAAGACAGAAGTCTTACGTGCAAATAGCCAAGTACTCGAATACAGAGCTCTACTCCCAGACACAAAGCCTCTGTATAGTACATGTAGAGCCTCTGGATCTCCTACTTATCCCGTCTATATAAAGCAGATACAGAGATCCATTCCCATACATAGAGCCTCTAGGTTTCCTACTTAGCCCATTTGCGTGAAGGTTCCATGGCTTTTCTTACAAGTGTTCCAGTCTCTTTCCGACGCTTACAAAGAAGTGATTATTGCAATCAGACACATGGAGACAAAAGATTGGTGGACGCGTTGACTTCGTCAAAATGCTAAATTATGGACGATTCCTTTTTTGGAAACACCTATAAAAGGATATTTCCTCTAAGGATACAAGTACTAATTTACAAACCGAGAAGACGTGCTCCTATGTAAATTAGAGAGAATATTTCATGCACTTGTGAAAATTAGTTTGATGAGATATTTTTCTATACACACATTACTGTATGTTCTTGGTGTTCTTGTAATCTCTTCAAGCTTAGTGAAATACAGCTGACTTGACTGCTTCTACAAATATCTTTGTGTTTCAGTCATTTCAGTTAACCTATCTAGTATTATTGTAATTGTTCGCTTACCAGTTAACTTAAGCATTAATTACTAGTGCATCTGAGAATCTGGTTTTTTACATCCATGATGCCACCAGTCTTTAAATTTACAAGCCTAATACCCTCCTCTTCAGGATTGGGTCTTGGATCAGGTCCGAATTGAGCCATTTTAGGAGTAGCTAGAATAGGCAACAATTTTTTTTTGTACCCTTCTTCTCCCTCTCATTCACCAAATACATAAAATAGTATCATTCGTGCATCCGAGCTCCATTTGAATTTAAAATAATAAAATAAGACTAAAAGACTCAATATAGGATTGGGAAAAGGTGGAAAATGAAAAGAAATAATGCCATGGTTAGGTGCTAAAATGTATGTTTTTGCACACTTATCAGTCACGCTTTCCAAAACTTGGAGTGTTACATCTATAGCCCAAATAAATTCTACAACATTCATAAACTAGTACCTACTCAACAATTCTTCTAGAATTAAACAAAGGATTTTTGGGTCATAATCTTGATTAATCCAAAGACTTAAAAGAAATGACATATCCCATCTTTTATATGGATCCGCCTATATACTATTTCATTTTTGCAAGCATTTCTTTTAAACCCCTCTACCTCCGGCACCTATTGCCACAATGCAATGAGGGAATTATTTTCTCTACATTTGCAGGAGGAATTATCTAGAATAGACTATACACAAAATTTAGAGAATGAAAAAAGTAGGTGAGGATGATATCATGGTATAATAAATATTTCTACATCAAAGAATGGTAGAAAGAAAAAGCATTCAAGGAAAAAATGATCTCTCAGGCATAACCATCTTGCAATGTTTGGAAGAGTTCAAAAAATAATAAAAGAGAATCAAAAGGCATGACAAAGCATGTTTGGGGGAAAAGAGTGAGAAAATGAAGAAAACCAAGTCCTAGAACCTATATCACGCCATGTGGTTCTTAATTCTAATGGATTGTGTTTGATAAATATAATCTTAGTTTAGCCTGTGATAGGCAGAAAAAGGTTAGGAAGTCCTACTGAGAAGTTTGTGGGTTATGAACGATTGTGATAAGCAAAAACAAAATAAGTTGGAAAAAGATAACATGGTTAATGAGAGTGAGCAAAATTCTGAAATGCAATAAAAATTTAGGAAAGAAAATTGAATTACGATTTCATTGTTAGCTCTATTCTAATTATGTTTCCTATTTCTTCTTATGTCAAATTTGACGTTAAGGAAGAAGCAACACTTTAAGTTTGGAATTGTAATATGTATGATTCATGTTGGTGCTATAACACCAATTCCTCGCACTTGTCATTTTTCATCCTTAAATGAATGATTCGCTTCTTTTTATTATTATTTTTTATATAGTTTCTAAAGTTTGAAAGTAGAAATAATCTATCCGATGACTTTTCGGCTGAAAATTGAGAATCTGATGAAGCTAGGTGATTGCTATAACTCATCAACAACAACAATCATGAAAAATGTTCCTAGTCCATCTTGTAATGTGTAGCGTTATACCTTTTGGGAGGTGATATCCCAGGTGAAAATGAGTTCTTAAAGTAATATTTAGTAGATAAAACTATAGTAGTTTTGTTTTTATAATTCTCTAGTTGTATACAATTTTTAACATTTATGTTTGTAGTTTCGTTTTTCCTTGTTTTTCTTATCGTCTTAATTTCCTTATAATGCTTTTGTTTCTATCTTTGGTTTGTTTCATTGCCTTGCGATAATAGGTTATAAGCCTTAGCTTGAGTGTAAAGTGAAGTTGAGTCTAAAATCCATATAAAAGTGGATGTAGTCCTAAAATAATGATCATCTCCTTCCTTTCATTCAAGATC